TTAGTTTCATTTTCTTTCATATCTGTCGAGTTGGTATAGCCGCTAGATTCAAAACATATTAGCGGTCTCAATTTTAAAGTCAATTAATGTCTTAATCTAAGTATAAGACAACTAATTGCAAGCTACACACATAATAATTTCATTAAATTGTGGAGTTTTAACTCTCTAATATGTGTGTAAATGTGTGATTATATTGGGTAACTAAAACTCTTACTAATATTGTTTACGGGGATAGATCGAGTTTATATATTACTAGTTTGATGGCATATTAATGCGTACAAAAATAATATAAGCTATACATCTATAGATGTAATATGTGTTTTACATTACATAAATTTTGATATTAAAAAAAAAGGTCATCATTTTCAGTCAAATTATTATTTGTTTTTTTTTTGTGAAAGACTGATAATAAAAATCTGATTATTTTACCATATATATTAATCAACATTGATATAACTTTTATGTGAACTATAATGACATAAAAATAACACAGAAAATGAATATTTGAAAATAATTATTGAACATGGAAAGATGATTTGATCAGTGGAAAATATTTTTCTTACTATTTATAGATTAGAACCATTTAATGTAATTTTGACAATTTACCAAATAAATTAATCAACATTGATATAACTCTTATTTGAACTAACGCAATAAAAATAATATAGAAATGAATATTTGAAAATAATTTTAAAGATGACTAGATGTTTTGATCAGTGGAAAATATTTTCTTACTATTTACATATTTGAACCATTTAAAATGCTAATTATAATACTTATTTAATAAATTAATCTTTAAAAAAATATTAAAAAAACTTTTAAATAAACACCCATTATGGTGGGAGTACCAAATTATCTTCTCATAGTACCACCTTGAATAGAACGAGATCGTGATGCTCTCAATTGATAAAATTAAAGTCTTTCGCTACAAAAAATGGACCTTTGCCAATTAATTAAGTGTGATAATTTCATAATCACATAAGTTAAATCCACCACAATCTATATTGATAATTTACTAAGATAATTATTATATACTAAACTCTCCAATAAAAAATTAAAAATGAAAGATAGAAATTTGATGCATATATATATACATATCTGTGGAGCAGCTATATTTAGTCAGAGAAATTTTGTGCACAATTGTGTTGAGTTGTCTTTATATATAGTGAATTGTATGGAATCTCAAGCAAGGAAGATGATGCGACTTTTAGGCAAAAGATGACACAATAGAAAATAAAAAGAGATGCCCAATTAAAGTGATAATCAATGCTCAATTATCTTTGTACCAATCTATTACTCCCTCCTTTTTTTTTAATAAGTGTCCTTTTGTAATTAAGGATCTTTTTTTGTCAATAATAACCCTCATTAACGAGGATAAAGATGGATGATGTGAGAAAACATGAAGAGTGAATATAAAAATATGTATGTATTTATTAGCTAAACGAGAGTAATAATAAAAAAATATGTAGAAAAAATCTAAAACGTCATTTATTTGGTTAATCGTTGATAAAGCCAAAATGACATTAAAAAAAAAAGGTAATACTATTAGTAGTGCAATGAAAGTTAGTAAGTTGTGTTCGAAAAGAGTTATTGTATATCATTGGCCTTTATCTATAGTTAACCATTGGCTTTTATCGACTTTAGTTGATACAAAGTTATATGATTGCATCCAATTCATGCCGTATTGCAAAATTATGATTACAGATTGTGTTGAAATTCTTGTTATAGTACTAAGATAATGCTATAGTGACATAATAAGTGACATACGTATCAAGAATTCATGAACGATATTGTCACTTTACATATCATAGAACCTTTAAAATCATCAAGTATTAAATATATACATCAATCTTGTATCAATTAACTACATCAAAGTAGTTTAATCGTAATAATAATTACCAAAATCAATAGCTCGTATCTTGTCAACACATGCAATTATGTAAGTTAATTGGTAAAACAATTTAACAAAGTAGATTAGTTATAGTGTAATAACCCATTATTAATTTTAGTTCAATTACCAACTTTTATTCAGAAATTTAATATATACTAGTACGCACCCCGTGCGATGCACGAGACAGAAATATTAAATGAGTTATTTTTACAGTCCTGACCATTTAAGTTTAAAAAATAATAGGGTTGTTATCTATTTTCTACATCTTTTAATCAACGTTAAGTCTAAAAAACAATAGGGTTATTATAAATTTTTTTCTACATCTTTTAACCGCGTTGTTTTTTTAGCCAGAACATTAAATATGAGCATGTTAGAGCTAGCTTGTAAAATAATTAATATATTATTTCACTAAAATATTTATACTAATAAAAAATAAATTTTAACATATAAATTTATCTCTTGATATAAGAAAAGTAACAATTTTACTTATTGTTGTTCACCATATAATATTTAATTATTATTTTATTATATAATAAAAAAGAATACTGTTAAATAGTGTAGTAGAATTGTTATAAAATTATATGAATTATTTTTTTTTTTTACAATATGGATTTAATATCTTTTTATGATTTGATAATATAAACAAATCTATACTTACCTTTGACTTTTCCAACAAAGGTAAAAAAATCGGTTCTGATTTTTATCACATAACAAATCTTTAATGTCAAGCCAATAAATACCAAAACAAATCTGTAATTAATGTCATTCTATTTCCAGCAAACATTAATTACTTTGACTTTTCTGTCTACTATTTTTAGTAAATAAGATGACTTTTTATATAAGTATAAATAACATTTTTTTTTTAATGTCATTTTTATGTAAAGGTGTTCATTATTGGTTGTAACTATTAATGTTTGTTTGCCTTTTTATCCTATAAATTCAAAAGATTATCATCATTGAGTTTTCTTTTATAATTACGTGAATGAGAAAAGAAGACACGGGAGTCAGGAGTGCGTGCATATATATATATATGTGTTTGAGTTCTAGAAAATGCGAGTAGATAAAGACAGTCTTTCAAATATGCATGATATTCCACTTGATGTATTATAAAACTTATTTAAAAAAATAGAAATAATGATTGCACCAAATTTATCATAAAATTTTAAAGGAACATAAAGAATATTGAAGGAGATACACGGACTAATTTATTCTAATAATCATCCATGTAACACTTAAGAGGCATTATGGGCGAACCTTCAATACAATATAATATTTTGTCTCTAATTTATCTATCTTTTATGCATATTACATGCGGATATACCTCTCTATTAAACCAATTAAATGAAAGTGTCGTGTCGATTCAGCCGTTATGACTTAAGTTTAACTTTATTCGTTTGATAAAGAAATCGAGTTCGAGCTAAGTTTATTTACGGTTTGAAAATAGGCACCATTAGAAAATAATAAAATTTCAATGAAAAAATTTAAATATATTTTAAAATAGTTATTACAATGCTATTATTTTTGTTGGAACTTTTCAATTGATTTTAACGCAAATTCCAACAGAATATGAGTTTTTTATGTAAATTTGCGTTGGATTTTGACGTCTCAAATAGTAGTTTTTCAACAGTCGAAATATGAACAGAAATAATAACTCCAGCGGAAACCCTATAGTAATAAATCATTAGAAAAATGATCGTTGGAATTATATCAACTAAAATCCAACGAAATCCCATTCAAAGGGAATATTGTGTTAGAATTTTTGTTCGAATGAGCAATACCATTGAAATATCTATTGTAATTTTCATTATAATATATTACTGTTAGAACAATTTTTTTACAGAGTGACATTTATGTAATTTTAAATTTTTTAGTTTAACTCGACTCATTAAGACTCAAGTTCATCTTGTTAAAATTCGGATTTGGCTTGTAAATTTTGATGTGGCTCATCAGCTGACAACTTAGCTCGATATAAACTCGATTTGAGTTTGAGTAACAAACTCAATCGAATAAGATTTCTTAAAAAATGAGAAAATGTTATTTATAAATGTATATTTATGGTTATCACTACGAAGGTTAATTAAATGACTAACGAATCATGTGCATTACATATGCAATATGGATTTGATGGGATTAAATAATTTATTGTTATCTGATGTCAGACTGACTAAACAAGTGGTTGGATAGATGAGCTCAATTGAACTGGTAAAAATAGTAATAGTAAAGTAGCTGCCTGCTGTTAAAATTCCAAAACCGTCAAAATTTTGCTTTTTACTTGCCTCACCACACTTTTTACCAAAATATTGCGTGCCACGTCATCTTCAGTAGACTGCTTTTGAGTTCTGGGAGAAAATATTGGTCACAAATTCCTAATTTAACTATATGCCGTGTGAACATTGCATAAAAATACTATTTCAATGGAAATCCATGTGTCCCCACGAAAGTTGTATGAAATTTTCAGAATTTTTTTAAAGAATACTATTATTATTGTGGGAAAGTACAAAAAACAGAAAATTAATAATTATTTTTTTTACAAATTATATATCACTGGTTGTTTAATTAATTAAGGGATAATGCATACTCAGAATTATCCATTAATTGAATTTATTAGCAGATTTGGCTTGAATTTTGATCCCTCGCTAGATCTGTGTAGTGGCTTTGTGGCGTTATTGTCGTCTCTACTACTGCAGAGCTTTTATATTGTTTCAATAGGTTTCTATTAATAATTATTCATCTCTCTTANTTATAACAAAAAAAAAAAAAAGATAATAATAATAATAATAATACACTAGCTGAATTAAGAGAGCTATAGTTTGAGGACTTTTTGCAATTAGTTATATTTTTATCAAATCCACTTTCAAGCTCACAATATGGCTGATTGTTCATAAGATATTTGGTTTTAACTCAATTAATTATCCTCAATATTATCAATATAATTAATTAATATCGATCAATAATTGTTACATGTCATATCAATTTTATTCATTATTCATCTATTACGTATCACATTTCTAATACTTTTACACTAAATTAACTTTATATAGTATATTTTAAATATTATTTTAATACAAATTCAAAAACTCACTACAAAATAACTCAAACTTAATGCAATCAACTTTTAAAATTAACTTTCATTAATCAGCAAATCTAATCAAAATCAAATTACATAAATTATATCAAATCACCCCCTATTAGATAAGTCAGAAAATTGAGAACCTTCGTCCCCATTCATAATCCACTCACTGTACAGACACAGACAAAAATTATTACAACTTCCTTGATTTAGTCGTGTCCAGCTAATAATTTTCCGGACATCAATCTCACTCATCGTCAAAACACATGCACTGTCCCGTATATATATATACACATACACCCACACTTTCAATTTCCCACTTAACTCACTCACTAACTCCACACACACTAATCCAACGGTTCCCCACACATCCCTTTTTCCTAACCCAAAGCAATACAAAATGGAGTACGGTAGGCTCGGATATCCCGAGCCTGGCAGCCTCGGCTCCTCATTCCGCAGCGAAGCTCCCATCCCTCCCAACCGGACCAAAATCAAGCCACTCCTCATCCTCGCCGCCCTTCTGATCATCGCCGCCGCCAGCGCCGCTGCCGTCGCGGTGGCCATCCGCAGCCGAGACGGTTCCTCCGGCGCGCCGCGCCTCCACGGCCTCCGCCCTTCCGAGGCCGTCTCCCGAGCCTGCGGCCTCACCTCGTACCCGAGTCTCTGCCTGAGCTCTCTCGCCGAATTTCCCGGAGCCGCCGCCGCCTCCTCCCCGGCGGAAATCGTCCACATTTCGGTCAACCTGACACTTCAGAAGTTCGGCGGCGCGCTTTACGCCGCATCCGAGATCAGCCACCTGGAGATGGACCCTCGCGTCAGGTTACCGGCCGGGATTTTGATTTGTATTTTTTACTTTTTAAATATAAATATTTGGCTGATATTTGGAAATTATTAAAATTAAAAAAAAAATGACAGGTCGGCGTACGAGGCGTGCATAGAGCTGCTGGACGACTCGGTGGACCTTTTGTCGCGATCGCTCGCCCACGTGGCGGGGGGAAGGGATCAGGACGTGATGACGTGGCTGAGCGCGTCGTTGACGAACCACGACACGTGTGAGGAGGGGTTCGAGGAGCTGGGCGGCGGCGGCGGGGAAGTGAAGGGCCGGATGTCGGCGCGGCTGAAGGACCTGTCGGAGCTCGTTAGCAACTGCCTCGCGATTTACGCGCAAATCGCCGGCGGGGGGGACTTCTCGGGGATTCCGGTGAACAACCGGCGGAGGAGGCTGCTGTGGGGCGGGGAGGGGGCGGCGCGAGGGGAGTTCCCGTCGTGGGTGTCCCGGCGAGACAGGAGGCTGCTGGACGCGCCGCCGGCGTCGATCAGGGCCGACGTGGTCGTATCCAAGGACGGTAACGGGACTTGTCGGACGGTGGAGGAGGCGATCAAAATGGCGCCGGAGAACAGCACCCGGCGGTTTATTATCTACGTGAGGGCGGGAAGGTAATTTTGACCGACGTGAGCTCGAGAAAAAAAATGAAAAGAGAGATTTAATTGGGTTTGGTTTGGCTTTTAATTGCTTCTTAGCTGCTACGTAAGCGTTAAATAACTTTAATACCCCCGAGTCATGTTATCACTTTATCTCAATTGGACGTCCACGTGTCCCCATTTCCTGCTTTATAGGTGGCTAATGATTTTTGGACTTACTTTATGCATTATTTCATCACGATTTTAAGTTTTAACTGTTATTAGACTGCTTTTAATGTGCTTCATTTTGGCTTGTTCGTCTATATTAACTAGTTGCATTGACGAGTTGAAGTCATAAATTACAAAAATATCTGACTTTTTTTGAGACATAGTAATAAAAAATGCCACTTTACAATGGTCATAGGTATGAGGAGAAAATACTGAAGTTGGGGAGGAAAAAGACCAACATAATGTTTATTGGAGATGGGAAGGGCAAGACGGTCATTTCAGGTGGGAAGAGCGTGTATGATAACATGACCACGTTCCATACCGCGTCATTTGGTAATTTCTTTTAACGTTTTCTTCACTTTATTTGCCCTTTTCCATATTGCTTTTTCACTACCTAATAACCTTTTCCCAAAAATATTTTGAAAATTACTTTATGTTTTCTTTACTTAAAAATTATATTATGTGATTCGTTTGCTGAAAAGTAAAAAACAACAGGCAATTTTGGTTTGGTCTCAACGTGCACGTGGCTTTATATGAACTAGTTAATAGTAGTTTCCACTTATTATCTTGAAAGTCAATTTTAGTATTATTATAATGAGAAGAGTAATGAATATATATTATGTTTTCTTTTTTGTTCTTTTTTTTGGGTAACTCGAGTTGTAGATGAATCTGATAGTATAGTATGACTCATAATTGTGATTAATCTGCAATTAGAATAACTAAAATCGGTTTTTATGAATGAATCAGCTTGCTTCAGCCCTCAAGTATTCTTAAGAAAATAATATTTAATTTGATAAATTCAACTCTATCAGTGATTCCAATGTAATTCTAAGTTATTTTACTTGAATCAATAAATTCCCATATATATCCATACAGACACAATGGGAATTAGAAATGTTCCCTTAATATACATTGAAAAGTTCATAGATGTGAGTGCGGTATATAGAGTTGGGTGGCTTTGTTGGTCTTGTTTGGACAACTAACGACAAATTAATGAAATGATCTAATAGGAGCCTAACGAATCTCCCTAAAGTCAAACTAGTAGTATTATTCAGGTTTTGATTGATTATTTTAGTGGTTTTTTTTAAATCATCGAATCAGACTTCAAATAATTTTTTTTAACAACAATAAACGTAGTAATTAGTCTTTAGTAATAGAAATAATTGTCCATTACAAAATTCCTACCTTTGAACATTTTCATTAAATCTCTATTATAATTTCTAACTACATGGGATTATATATATGTCCCCTTCACGTCCCTTTCTAATAGTGCCCTTTTTTGGCTTAGCTTAACATTAAATTAAACGAGTTCATTTTTTTTTTTTTTTTTTTTTTTGAGTGGAGTTAGGGACAAAGAGGAATTGAAAATTTGGCCATTGTTATGCTTTGATCAGCGTGACGTAAAAAAAGAGAGAAAAAACAAGTTCATTTTGGTAAATTGTCTTAAATCATTTCCCATAAATATATAGTGAATTATATATATAGCCATTGTGCAATTTTGTACTGTAATTGAAGTTCAGTTGTCCTCTTCCCTTTGCACACGCATAAACTGAAAAAAGTTCCATGTATTTTGTTTTTCTCAATCTTCCACTGCACTAAGTTTATTTCTGAATATACATACACCAATAGTGGCAATGTATGTCAGACAGTACTGGTGGACCATGGGCTATGACATTGTGTAAGAAAAAGCCCTAACCAACAAACTACAAATGGGGCAAGTTGCAACTAGTTTTTCATGTTTTTTTTGAGGTGTTTGCATAAAATTATCCATAAGCTTAGTCCAATTACAAAGGACCCACTTCACCTTTTCTATATATTTGTTGATTTTATACCCACACTTATCATTTTTAGTTAATATTTGGTGGGTAAGTAAGGATGACATAAAATTTGACATAATAACACGTGTCACAATCATATTACTTTACACATCACATCACTTGACACGTCAGATTTTGTCATGCCCTATGTCAACATTTTATGTTAAAGTAGCCTAATTCTCATTTGGTATGGGCAACTCATTGGACCACACCATATGACTCGCGCATAACTCGTATTGCAGCTGCAACCGGCAATGGTCTCATCTTGAAGGGCATCACGTTCGTGAACTGGGCCGGGGCACAGAATCACCAGGCAGTAGCCCTGCGGGTCGGTTCGGACCACGCCGTGATCTACCAGTGCAACATCATCGGCTATCAGGACACGTTGTACGCCCACTCTCAGAGACAGTTCTACCGCGAGTGCGACATATACGGCACAGTCGACTTCATATTCGGCAATGCAGCCGTCGTCTTCCAGAGCTGCAACATCCACGCCCGGAAGCCACTGCCGCTTCAGAAGAACACCATCACGGCCCAGAACCGCAAGGACCCGAACCAGAACACTGGCATCTCGATCCACAACTGCTCCCTCGTGGCCGAGCCTGACCTAAGGGCCAACAAGAGCGCCTACCCGACCTACTTGGGCCGGCCATGGAAGTTGTATTCTCGGACTGTCTACATGATGTCGAACATGGGTGACCATATTCATCCGAGAGGGTGGCTCGAGTGGAATCAGACGTTCGCGCTCGACACATTGTACTATGGGGAGTACAAGAATTACGGGCCAGGAGGGGCAATTGGGCAACGCGTGAATTGGACGGGCTATCACGTGATCACGGCCGCGGCAGAGGCCAATAAATTCACGGTGGGCCAGTTTTTATCGGGCTCGTCTTGGCTGCCCTCGACAGGGGTCGCGTACCAAGGCGGGTTGGGGATATCGAATTGACTTGTTTTATGGTTGAAAAAATGTGTCTAACATTAATTTCATTATAAGGTATATAATGTAGTCATGGTTAATATACCTTTTATGTGATTTGTTTGATTTATTTTTACATATAATGTAAAAATTTAATAGTCATGTAGTGTGACTCATGTGATTAATTAGATCATCCATAAATAAATGTGATATAGCAAGAAGTTGGGTGAAAAATGGAAAGTGCAATGTACGTGTACGACGATATTACTGTTGACTTATTGACTTTTGAGGTCAATTAGAAATCTGTCGGTGGAAAATTAAAGAAATAAATAAATAAAATCCGAGTTTGTAATTTGGTTGTGATAATAATAAATGCTGAGACCTAACTAATTATGTGACCCACAAGATACATTCATCATGCTATGAATCATGAGACTAAACCATGTGAAACATTTGAAGGCCCCTATTAACATCTTCTACAGTTTTGCAGTTGTAGGTTATCATAAATGTGGTAATTTAAATATTTGAGAGCTAGGTTTTAAATTACATAATAATATGTAATTGAATTTCAGAATTCCGACATAATGGAGCTGTTATTGAAATAATTTACAAAGTGGTTGTATATTCAATCCTTTGATCTTCATTCAAACTCAAATCTTCCCCCACACAATAATCAATGATGTCATAATTGAACCAGACTTTAGTATAAATTGTTGGTATATAGGTGGCAAGCCTTTTTCAATATGTATATGGTATTAAGATGGCAATAAGGTTTGGAGAAAAAATGGGAGAACGAAATGTGGTCCATACCCAAAGGAAAAATAAAATTAAATAAAATATAAAAGGACATTTTATCAGGGGACAATTACTAATATAACAAGAAACACGAACATGATACGATTAAAAAACAGATACAGATAATCCAATAAACACGACACAACGAGATACAAAACACGATGCAACAAGCAAAAAATACAAAATTTAGTTATAATCTAGAGTTAATGTCATAAGATAATATAAATAAAACGAAACGAACACAATACGACAACAACAACAACAACATACCCAGTATATTCCCAACAGGTTGGAGTCTGGAGGGTCAGTTGTACGCAGACTAAGGAAGCTGTTTCCGTAGCGACCTAAGGTGCATTGCGCCGTTTGATATATATATATATATATATATATATATATATATATATATATATTCTAGAAACTTCACTGATAGAAGAAGCAATAAATTTTAATTGAGTCATTTTGATCTAGTTCATTATTAGCACTATGCCAGGAGAATTGTCAATAATGACTCTTCCAACGCCATTTGCAATAGATAGGAAAACACGAAGACAATACAAACAACAAAATTCATTACCATATGTTTTAACGTCCATACTTTTTATTGAAATCTCATTTAATTTTGCCTTTATTGTCCATTTTCCACATCTCATCCAGGTCAATCTCATAGCTGTTAGCACAAAAGCATATCTAAAATATGCTTGAAAGTTAAAACCTTCATGTTTAGCACAAGCGGATATGTTCAACACATGCATTCCCAGCCAATTTTCCAGAAAGTAAATTATTTAGCACACATAATAGATAATACTACTGCAATTTCATGTCTGAAGGCCACAATAAAAAACCCAAGCATCATCAGACAGAACAGTTGCAAACCAAAATACACAGACAAAGCATAAAATCATTACTATTTTCAACTATATACTTAGCCACACACACACTGAACACAAACGCAAACAGCAAACCACATGTCTTGACACGAGTCCATAGCTTATTTCACACGTATTTTATATATCACGTCGAAACTTCTGCAGTT